TGGCTCCCTGCCACTGCACACATTCCTGGGGGGCAGGAGAGGGACATGTGCACCCCAGATCTGTGCATGGGGCGGGGGTGAGCTGGCCACTGGGCCTGGGCTTCCCACCCTGCTGCCCTCCCCCTGGGGCCTCTGCAAGCCAGTGGGCAGGTCCCGGTATAGCAGGGCAGAGCCAGGTTGGATGGGGAAGCTTGTTGGCCCTATTAGGAGCCCTGCACCCCCCTGGTGAAATGCCCACTGCCCACCTAGCAGCAGCATGGGTGGTGGTGTGGAGTTGTACCCTCACTGCTGCTGGGCAGGCAGGGCCATCTTGCCAGGGTGGTGCAGAGCTCCCAGTAGCAGTAATGAGCTTCCCCGCCTGGCTCCTCTCTGTCCTGCCATGCCAGATCCTGCCCATTGGGCCCCCTCTTCCAGGGCTGGGGGGACTGTGGGTAGCAAGTGAGGAGCACCAGCAGGGCTGGAGGGGCTGTGGCTTGGGTGTGAGGGATCTGGATCTGTGTCCTGGTGAGTGAAGGGGCAGGGGGAGCTCTGATTTTCCATGGTAAAAAACCCAAATAAAATTTTATAGATATTTAGAATTTATTTTATTATAGTGATTGAGGCACTGGTAGGCTTCCAAACTGCTTTAAATTTTGAAATATATCAATAAAACATTGTGTTCACCTGATACCTATATATATAGTGGTGTTTCACTTTAATCACAGATTTGAGATTTTTAAATCAGGGAATTTGCTAATTTTAAAGAGAAACAGAGAACTCCAAACTTCTGTTAAGGGTGGAAGGAGATAATGTGAGCTGTATTTGTCTCCAAAATGCTCCCAGATAAATATCTTGCCTTCTGAGAGGAATTTATCTTAGATTTTTCTTCCTTTTTAATAATAAAATAGCAATGCATTTAAAGAAGTAAAGTTTTGAAGTAATGGAATTGAAGAAGTAATGGAAACTTCTTTTAAAATGATCAAGTCAGGGCTTTAGCTGGTATAACTGGCATAACTCAATTGGGTTTAATGAGGGGCTGTCCTAATTTGGGCCAGCTGAGAATCTGGTTCTATAAGCTTTCTATTCCTAGAGTTCCATAATGAGGGATTACTGTTGGAGAAACAATGTGTACTGCCGATGGCATCTGTTTGCAATTTCTTTGCATGGGCATTAAGAAAGCTGAAGTGGTAGCAGTCAGCTTAGTGTTGCTTATTGGACCATTAATGAACTTGCCAAATCTCTGGACACCTCCACAGAAATGATAGCCAGAAACTCTCCCCAAATGACTTGTAATGAGTTTGGGTTGTTGCTGTTTGCCCCCAAGGCTAGGGACAGATATTCAAGAAGCCAGAGCATAAATTGATTTTCTGGGGCTGCCAGAGCCCTCCAAGCCCCCCCCC